AAAAACAGGATCCCTAAATCCAAGAACACTTCTCATTGCAGTATTACCTACATTATTTCCCTTCAAGCCATACGCCAGGACTTCATCCAACTTCTATATAAATAATATACGTATGTATACTCCTGTCTGCTAACACACTGAGTCAGGAAATGATTATAAGACAGAAGTGCTCAGGAAATAAAGTCAACTCAAAGACTGCACTTATCTACACTAATAGACCTAAATTACTTATCATTCGTGCTCAGTACATTTTTCTCGAGCAGATGGCAGGAAAACGTTTGCTACATGCGTCGTGACGCTCTGCGTCTTTGTTAGAATCGTGTCGCGTGGGTGTCCAAAGTTTCTATTGGCTTCACTCATATTTGAAAGTCGACATAGCGGCGTTAGGTTTCGCGACTCTCGGCATCGTTCTAACATCGTTTCCTCTGTCACCCAAAGCGATAAATATGGAGGTGTCTGGCGTTGTTACGACGATTGGCGTCGGTTTTCCAATGGCACAACGGCGTCACTTTTCTAGTGTCGTGTCTTGTTTCTCTGATGTCATGAATCTTGAGTCGGTTTCGCGACGACAGGCGTCGACATACCAGCGTTTTGTGTTTTGTCTCGAATAAGCTCAGGTACATTATTTTGGGAATAATTTTTCGGCGTCTCGACACTCGGTGTCTGTGTGTATCCTGTCGCATGGCCTCTCGATGCTCCTCTTGGCTTCATTTAGAACTGAAGTACGAGTTACTGTGTTAGGCGTCGTGACCATCAGGGTCAGCGGATAAGGTCGCGTTTTGCGGCATCCCAAGGCTCATCTACAATAGAATCTTTTGACGGCAACGTCGTCAACTCTTTTGTCATTCCTAGCTTCATCTGTGCAAAGGATGACATCGTGCATCGGGGTCGAAAGCGAAAAGGTTGTGCTGCTCACTGCGGCACAAGAACAAACGACAGCGCCGCAGAATATCGACCACGACCGCGTGAGAATTCGCAAAGTTCAACCGTCCTCCCTCGCCATCTCGTACCAACAGTTTGAATTATCAGATACATATGCTACGATGCGAACAGCATCTGGACCACAAATGCGTAGAAACACAAAATCGTCTTGCAGAAATTCTGCAACAGCGTCAGTAGATGGGGCAAAGAGACGCTTTATATTACGTTCTTCGAGCGTTAGTAAACTATACCCATTTCGATAAATCGAACTCTCTTAATCGAGAAAGTGATGAAACCTTCCATATCGATTCTCTAAAATACTATTAATGATTACATGCATCACAACTCGGTCACGCAACATAGTCGATTGCAATTTTCTAAAATCAATTCCAAATTTCATGTAAAATAAGTTCGATTATTTAATGCTAGTTTTTATGCGATGTTGTATCAAATTATTAAGTAACTTAAAGGAGCATGATATCCTTTAAACAGTTGATATTGGTAGAAGCCGTCAAGCAATTCCTTGACTTGCGGAATCCGACTGTTCACTACCATTATAACAAAAGCCTGTCTTTACATCCTACCCTTAAGAGGTATCCATTTTACGCCTAGACACCTTACTTTTCTATAACCTGTTCCGAATATTAATCTCGTATTTACATCATCAGATCCTCAAAAAGTCTCTTCTCCTAAAATTGTAGAAACACATCATGGAGGCTGGACGCAGAGGCTAGAAACGAAACCCCGATCGCCCGGCCCTTAGCCAGTCACCAAACTGACCGACCTACCCGGCCGGCTCACTTGTTGCGCCTTCTGGTCTCGCAGAAATTGCCCCACGTTTCAGAAGTGATCAGTGCGATCGCCGTGAAGACGTCGTCGTTTCTCCAGAAGAATGTTGGGATAATACTCCGATACTTTGACATAGACAACTAACAAGACCTTCTGAACCTTTATCAATTGTATCTACCGTAAGTTTGTGTGACCACACGGTCTCGGATATAGCCAGAAGTACCCCAAATCTACAAGCACAGAATCCTACACACCGTAAAGAAAAACAGAAGAATAGGACGCAGGCTGTAAAATAACTCGGCTCAACTGTCTCAGATTCACTCGTTCCTTTTCCATTCTTTTTACTTCCTTTTTTCCTTTCCTTTACTTATACATGCTCTTTTAATGCCTCGTTCCTTATTTATATCCATCCTCTCGCCTCCCTTCATTCTTTATTTATTTCGTTCATTATTTATCTTCTTAGTATATCTCACTCCTTCATATTTTACAAGGTTTTCTCTAAATTTCTGTCTCATTTCATTTATTGACGTCTTTCACGGTTTCTGTTTATTTTCTTTCTCCCTCCGTTTATTTATTACATGTTACTTTCTTTCTACGGTGCAAAATATTAGGAAAAACAAAGCATTTCTGAAGCATGTTTCTGCAAGGAGTGCAGACCTAAGCAATTTAAACGTTACGTCTAATTTAATTTTACATGCATCACACGTTTTCACAGATTCACTCGGCCTGGTATGACAAGTATAGTTCTCAAAATATTCACGCAAAGAACAAAAAAGATCATCAAGTTGGCAGCAACATTCCATTAAAATATTTCAGAATAATTCCAATTTTATTGTTCGGTATTAGGTAATGCTATAAAACAGACATGGAGGCTATAAGGAAATGTTGTGCGCATGCGTAAAGAGGTCGATTGCACGCGAGTGGGTAAGTAGTTATGTCCAACCTGTTGGTTCTGGTCCAGGGAGGGGGATTCTGGGGATGTTTCCTAGCAACCAACGGAGACAGGCTACAACAGCTACATCTCAGTCCTCACAATGCCTAGTGGTGCGGTGTACAGGGGTCGCAAAGGGATGTGAAGCGTCTCCTTCTGGTATTGGGACCAACGTGAAATTGTGGTGTTTTCCTTATAGAGTGTCACTTCCTGCGTCTAGCGTCGTATGGTTTAATATAAAGCAATTTCAAAAATGCAGTGTGTCGTTTAACAATTCGCTGCACTTTAAAGTGGAAAGAAACTTAATATGATTACTTGAGTATAAATAATATCCTAGAATTTCTGCATCGTTACAAACAGAGAAAGTGGTTCAAATATGAAAAGAAACAAAAACATTATGTAAAAATGTAAGCATAAACAAAAGCCGTGTTTCGATTTAGAATACCAACACCACAGGAACAGGATCTAAACACGTCTAATATGCATATTAAATCTGTGTGTTGTAAGTAGATACTCTCTCACATGACAAGTATCCAACGTATAAAAATATATTCCAAAAGAATACTTTAAAAATGGCTACAATAATACTTACCGCATACAACTACCAGCTATTACGCCTACATATCCACTAATTTAGGTATAAAATCTATTAAACGTACAATTTACGTATATTATTGTATCACACCATCGTCAGGCCCCTTTAAAATTGACGAATTATGAACGTTACTATGAAAACTAAGACTCAAATTTAAGCGTATTTCAGCTAGTTCCTTTTAATATTTAATGTATAAAAATGTATAATCACAAATAAGCGATACACCCAAGGAAACATCGTTATAAAATGCTAATCTATATATAAATATGCTGTTTTGTATATATACCGAAACTATCTTATGTCCAAGATGTTTAAAATTTAAGAAACGTATAAAGAATTAATACTGTGCTTTGAGCATCTTGCACTCGCTTATGTAATTCAGTAGCTTCTGAAGAAGTGATTGGTGAATCTGATGGCATAAACAGTGTGGATTGTGTTAAAAATTACGGGTCGCGTGGTTGTGATTTGATATTTCGCAGCGTCTCTGATCTAGCGACAATTACATAAACTGAACATTACTAAGAATGGAGACCACAAACAAATTAACATCTACATCAAACAAATGTGAAGTTCATACTTAAAGAGAAAGGTAAGTGAAGATAATATTTTTTATACAAATCTTAGTATTATCTTACGCTAATTAAACATTAAATGATAAAAATCATCCGTTAGTTGTTCGTCAGTGCATAAATATGTAGTTTATTATATTTAAAACAGGAATTAATCATTTATTTTAACGTTCAGTAACTTGGATGACGCCCACATGCATTCATTCGGCATTCAGAATTAACAGAGAATCATTTCATATAGATCTTTAAAATAGCTTCTAAACTTCGTACAGGCGATGCGGTGTGTTTTATTTGGGGCAGGGGCACATTTATTAAATTAACATACAACTTACATAAGACGTGTTCTTTGAAGTGTTAAGACGCAATATAAGATGGAAATACCTTGAAATAAGACCAGACAATCGGGCCGAATTTGCATGACCAAAATTTTCGACTAAACGAATTAACTCCATGGAGCAAATTCAATGAGAATCGAACGGCTGCTCAGATAGTCAAGAAATTTGTGAACCAGAATGTTCATAACTCACTGTAAGGCATATGAATCAAGTCCACACCAGACCCTGTAACTTTAAGAGTCATTTTAGAATTTCCCTTCCGTCTACGACTAGATTTACCACGGACCGCCGACGGGCTGTTGTGAACACGTAATGAATTTTTGCATTCCATAAAAGGCAGGGAATTTCTTTACTTTATGAGCTAATTACCATCGTTTCAAGGATTTCTCTCCATGGGGTTGGTTATTTAGTGAAGTAACAATAATAGAATAGTTATATTGGATTCTTTACATTAATATTAAATTACATCGATATTTATCCACTAATTTCGGAGATGAAACACATGCGCTGGCGGGTAGACAGACAGACACGCCCCCCCCCCCCATATTAAGTATATATTTTATTCGTCTTGTCAAATAACGCATTCAAATTCGGAACTTTAAAGTTATGGATGAAGGGAAAGAAAACATTTTGGTTTGTGTGAACTGAAAATTCCATCTCATCAAGTACGAATTCAGTTAAACTTGCAAACACGAATACACAATGTCTGTCCCTACAGAACAAGGTTAAATATTCAGGTCAATTCTTTACTGTACCAGGCACGCAGCCCTTATTCTTGGGGCCCCTGGTCTCCTGAGACATTCTGGCTGCTGAAAATGTTTCTCTTGGCGGCATAACACGTACTTTACCTGTATCCCCATCTTACGCATTTAACCCTTGGGTCCGAAGAACGTATAAATATTATTCAAAAATTCACGTCTTGCTATAAAGAAAAAACAATTCGTCTCTATTAGAAACATCAACTGGTTAATGCTGTGTAAGGAAATGAACGTTGTTATACTGAGAAACAAGGCCTTTTTTTTTGCAAATTACCAAAAATCAATAACTCATCCGATGTGGTTCCTATCTGACGTTTCTTTGTTCTTCTGTCCAGCGGAGAGCACTCTTGATGGATTTAGACTTATCAGTTGTTTCTATCAAATCCTATGTAAATACCACGATTACATTTAACAGAGCTGTCCTATGCAAAGATTAACAGCTCTAATAGCAGTGCAAATTCGAAACATGGGTCGCGTAGGTCCCGGATTCAAATCTCGCCCCGGAGGCCTGCCATCATCAATGTCATTTACGTACTTTTCCTCAATCTCTCCAAGCAAATTCCAAGATAGTGCCTTATATTAGCTCAAAACCGTCACCTTCACAGCTCATTATTTACTAATCATCCCAACATTCGAAATTAAATAAACCGCACATAAATAGGCGAGAATTTAGGTTCTCACGGCGACAAGTATAACTACGGGCGAGACCCTGATTATGGAGGCAGTAAGGTTCTCTAAGACGTTGGTCAGTATCTACCAGACTACACGGTGCAACATCTTAGAAAACGGCTTTCTTCAGAGATAAATAAAATAAGAAACACACAATTAAAATATACTATACTACACTACACTACACTACACTACACTACACTACACTACAATATAAAACCTTCAATTACATTACAGTATCAAGAAAATGTGCCAAAATTACGACGCACATCGTAACACTCTTTTGATATTTTTGAAGACTTTTGGGGGTAGACGGTTCGTGCATTCCTAATACGAATATTTATACCGATTCTATAAGCTGAAATACGATTGAGATCATAAAACTTAATTTCAATATAAACTACAAGACGAAAACTCCCACATCATACTCTAGGGTTTATAGACTGGCTGTAACTTCGGTCCCTCAAGAGACGAAGTCTAGCGACCCATTAGCCGTAACCTAGCAACAGCTACACAGCAGGTGTCTGAGAGCTGGAGCAGTTTACTCCCTGAACAGGAACAACGACACCCGCGCTAATTTCTTCCGCGAGCATTCCTCACTCAAACACCACATAAGAAAAATAAGACGTTCTGGGAAAGCCGCATGCATTTCAACATAGGCTTCCATCTATAAGAATTATAAATGAAAACTCTTTCAAATTTTTAGCCGTTTCTTCATCTTCATTAATAATTATTTATACATAAAATTACCAAACATTAACTTCAAAATGTTGTTCCATCAACGTGTTTGTGTATCTCAGAACACAAAAGAACACTGATAATTTCTATGCGTGTACGTATGTGTACAGAGTCTATATTATCTACCCCCGTATAAAATGTCACATTCCAATTTGCAGAAACTCTATTTAAAGTTATTTCAGTGCCTGTTTCTAATTACAGCTGTGAGAACTAGACAATTAACCGCTTGATCAAAAGAAAGTTCGAGTCAGTTGAGATTAAACTCCTAGAATCAGTGACTAAATACGCATAATCTAAACAAGGAAACAGAAAACCAAAATGGATACAAACACATATTAAGAACAGATCTGACTAAATTCTCAAAGGTGCCTTTAAAATAAAATCCGGAAGCAGACAGAAAATTGGTAGACCCAATAGGATGCTGAAATATTAATTTGAAGACTGAACGGGCAATAGGTCCTAATCCTTGAAGGAAACTTAGAAGAAGTAAATGGAGGATAATATTCATATTTATTCTGAAGAAATAGTATGTAAAGGTATAAACTGAAATCAGTGGTCAAACACGGGGTTCAATTGGGGGCCTATATGAACACAATAACGAACCATTCGATTCCGTAAAATTGTAGAACATTAGTTTCAAGGTAAATTGTTCACTATGGAGCTCATAGTGTAGAATTTACCCGCAGCCCGGAATTTAAATATAATAACCCGGCACACAACACTTGAATGTGTAATTGATTTGCCTTCACACAAAGTGTGCAATGTGCTCACACATTGGTTAATCGCCGTAAAACATCGCGTTAGCTAACCGTACTTGACTACCTTAAGGATATTAGTGTAGAACGTAAAGTGTTAACCGAGACATTAGTTTTATAACATTAGTAATGAAAGAGTTAAATTTCACTCAGAGTAAAGCCTCTCCCCCCACTCTCAACCGTAGTATGATTTTAGCATTTCTCATGTTTTAGTACTAAAGCTGAAACTCCATCACTCATTACTTCATACGCGTTATTTTTATAAAGTGAATGGAAGAGATAACAGATTTATATGTCGTCCGTCTGTCCGTTCGACTGTTTCATCTCCGAAATTAATCTGCTTATTTCAAGTTGACGTGGTGTGGTGGGCGTACACTGCAACCATAGACTTACATTTCTGTCAGTATCGACACAATAGGATCCTTTTACATTAATCTCAAAATCAAGATTATTTTATTTTCAAAATGATTTAAGTATAAAAATAGTATATAAGGTAAAACATATAATATGTATGTTATGTATAACACATGACGTACGTTTATTTAGTCTGTCACGTACAAGTATCAGAGTGTGGGGAATGACTCCCTGTTTTCCTTTTTTCCGTAAGACAATATTTAAACTCATTAAAATATACAACACTTACATGAGACATTTTCGATACTCAATATAACGAAATAAAAGGAAAAATAATTGTTAATCGTAACAATAATAAATTGACAGCAGTGACAATGACAAACGCAAAACAGGTTACAATTGGAAACTGTGTGTACCGGAAATAAATACAGGTGCATTCCAACTCATGTGACATCCATCAATTCGTCTTTCATAGCCATTCAGTGATTTTCATACTTTGCAATAACTCTTACGCGCCGTTTCCCGGCATATACGCGGTTCATTCCACGTCCTGCGTAATAGTCAACTTCTAAATAGCCAACAAGACAAATACAACCAAGTTTACGTTCGGAACATTTCCGCTTGGTAATAAAACACTTATTTTGCACATTGGGTCTGTGGAGGAAAGTCTTCGATTTGATGTTTCTCAGCGATTACCAAAAATTTGGGGTACTCCTCTAATTTCTTCTCTCTTCTTTATGGCTCATATTTTGTTAGTAAATCATGCAGTGAAAGTGCAAGCGTCGACGGTAGGATAATATTAAAAATTATTTTTATAAAAGGATATAAGGTTCTGGACCGGATTAATTTGACTCAGAATCAGAATCTGATTGGTTTTATATTCATGAGATCGAGAAACCTCTTCAGAACGCTCATATTTTGATAGGCCAATTAGATTTGACGCTCTATATCAAAGGGAAGTGAAGTTCCATGTTTATCTCATAAAGCAATAAAGAAATAGGAAAATGTGTGTATAAACTTCCATAAACATAAACATGATGAGACTTCTTCGAAAACCGGACAAAACTGATTTGTGAATAATGAAAAGTTATAAATGCAAATACTTAAACCCTCCTTTACCAATTTATAATTCGTTTCCAAGTAGAAAGATAAAGGCTCTCAAATTATTTCAGTCATACGGACGCTGCAGTGCACTTAGAAGATGCGATCAAAATGTGCACCCTACCTTATTGCATGAGTTAGTTTGGGTAGGTACTTAGCTAGTTAGATAGTTGGACGTGACTCTTATGAACAGAGTACTTAGTTCGTTAGCCTGGCAGATAATATGTTGTTTTACCAATTATTTATCCATTTCTTATTACAAATAACACGAGTACGTACTTAACCTTTATCACTATACGTCAAATACGTCAAACTCGTTTCAGCCTCAAAGGGCCATCATCAGTGTTGCCTTATAATATTTACATTGGTTCAACGAGCAATAATAAAATTCACTTCTTTAACAGTGTTCGTCAGTAACGTTCATATATAAAATACGAAAAATAAATAATGCATTATCTGTTTTATAAACCACACGGCAGGAAAGGATATAAAAACTATTTCTTATTAACCACATCCGATCCCCGAGAAATAATAATCGAACTGAACAGCAGATCACTCTGTGCGAACTCATTTCTAAATACATATTTATCTGTAATCGTTCTGAATCACTGTTCATTTGTCATATATCTGCAATTCGAAAATAAACCCCAAAACACATTCGTCATCATTGCTAGGATTTTAGGAGCGTGCAGTGTTCGTTATCTTCTGTTATCAGATCCCTGGTGATTACTATTAATAGTTACGAGTATTTGGGTGACGACAAGCGCACATTAATAACAGTTATTGCTACTTTCATCACCACTCGAATCCGGCCCCAACCCCAATGGTCCTGTCACGTGACACTCTTTAAATTCTTTCTGGTGTAGAGACAGCGACAGAAATGCTTTTTGCGGAAATGTCTGCTCATTTGTTTTACTGTCAATTTATATTAACTGGTTTCAGGTTATTTTAAACACAATTAATTACTGGCATATTTACTCCCTAAAATAATTTACCTCATCGTAAATATTTTACTTTGAAATCCCCATGAGTTTTTATGAGAAAATTACATCCCAATTCTTATTATTATGAAATATTTAGTCTTGTTAAATAAAAACATTGTGGCCTCCAAAAAGTTAACTGCGCTTTGGAACTTCACAGAGACAGTCTTGTATGAGTCACTCCAGGGAGAATTAATAAAGTGTCATTTTGGTTGCATGTATAATATAGATGGTATAGGACAAGAGCCAATAAAAATCATCGTCAGACAGCCTTTAGTATAAAACACAAAATTTTATCGAAATCAGTCAATAAAGCACGGTGACAGACGAAGACAAAAACTGTCATATATTACGTAACATTTTATAGCGTCTGTGCGACTGTCATATAAAAAGATTCTATTGACACTCATTAATTCGGAAATTAATAGATAGAAAAAGTGGTTCATATTTTGACAAATTATTCACGTACGTTCCTCCAAGATAAGGCATAACTCCTGAAACAGAGTGTATATCGAGTTGTCGCTGTTTTAAAACAAAAGTAAAGTACGTCTGTATCTTGTTACTGGCTGCGGGGAGATCACGTAAATACATGTTGCCATAGCAACCGCAAGGGGCTCCAAGAGAGGCACAAGCAGATCCTATGACTGTGGCTGCTTCGCCAGCAATGTTACATATGTCAATAAATTAGACCAAGTCTGGACTGTGTGGAAGGTGTTGAAGCACTTGAACGCCATTCGCTTCAAGAACTGTCGTCACATGATAAGGCAAATGTTTCCATCAGTGACAGACACAACTAAACCGATCAGACACAACAAGTATTGTCCTTAATCATCAACGAGATGCAGAGTTTGGTTGTCGCGTATACATGCCAGCTGAAACCAGTCCTCCTCATTTCGACTATTTCTCTATTGTTACTGTTGCTATAGGGTGGGGCGAGACTCTCTCTTTGTGGAACATGGCCCCTAATGGGCCCTTCGTTAATCCCGCACATGACATGTGAGTAACTATAGATGAACTGTGGAATGATACTGGCAGGGGAAAACAGAAAGTTTATGAGAAAAATCGGTTCCAGAACCTCTTTCGACTGTTCCTCTCCATTTTGTTATTACCCTTCCACGTGGCCTCTTCGCTTCCTACTCTTTTATACACTTCCCAAGGGACATACAGAAGGTACCGCAGACTGGGGCTTTATGCGCGTAAATGCGACGCTGTAATTTGACCCTCTGATCCAGTGGCATGAAGAGCGTGAAGGAAAGATGACAAGACTGTGAGACACGGAGAGTGACACTGAACATCTAATTCCATACCCCAGGCTACACGGGCTGACTAAAGACTAACACACAAAAATCTACAATTCGAAATGTTGTTCTGTGTGCCGTAAAACTTTCTATTTCTAAGCGGAAACATAGATGTTGGGGGGGGGGGGGGGGGGTTAAAAACCTAACAGCGAGGAAGATATTTGGACCCAAGAGCTACGAAGGAACAAAGGACTGGAAAAAGAATTATAATATAAGTACGTATATTTGTACCTTGTACTGTTCGAGTGGTTATATGAAGGAGGATAAGACATGTATGACACGGGAAATTAGAAATGCACATAAAAGTTTAGTCGGAAATACTGAATAGAAAAAAGACCACGTACATGGAGTGGGGGGCTAGTATTAAAATTAATAGTAAAGAAACAGTGTAAAGTAAAGTCATCTCGTTATATGCAAATGTTGGCACTTAAGGGAAAGGAGGTGTATCTCCTATTCCTTCTCAACCTCGAGACTCAACTCCAAAGACCACAAATACGATACATATAAATTTAATTAAAATTATATTAATATGAAAACAAGTACTGTAATTTTAAGCTGGCCAATTACAGAAAATACCATGTTCTGATTTCAGAGCTATAGACTATGATGCTTCAAGAAACGATAGAATGACATGGGACACTTCTCTAAATTAAAATATTTTCTTTAAATTCCACCTGTATAAAAGATGAAACAAACAAAAACGGGAAGGGTAGAAGGCACATTGTAAAGAGTTTGCTACTTCAGCCCTTTAAAGCCAAACAGTCACTAAATGCTGCCCTACCTGCTTCAAAAATCAATCCTTTCTCCCCCCTCCCACCTTTGCCTGATCAAAGCAGCATCCGGCTTTCGAATGTCATAATTCTATAATCCAGACGACGAACAAAGCCCAAAGCAACAATTCTACACATAATTATGTTTATGAATCGGATTTATACTACTGATTAACCGTGATTATAACGGATTTGTATGTGCTGCATATAGCCTAAACATCAAGTGTGTTGTTCAAACTGCAGTGCGCCTTGTTTCGGACAGAGGGCGTGGCTGCAAACTCTAAGGGAAGTTAACCCCTAAGCGCAAACGCAACAGAAATATTTCACGAACTTCATAAACGAACATACTCCGATAAACGGTAGCAAGCATGCGTAAGGCTGAAGTCACTATCGAAACCTTTCAACACTTGCTTTTGTGTGGACGAGGAATAAAGGCCTCACATCTTGACAATCAATAAACCAATACGGTTCATTATTAGCCCCTTTTGCGAAGAATCCAGCTCGTAAAATGGGATGGAACATGACATGAAAGTAGCGGAGAAATGAGAGTAGTGTGGGGTCGAATTACTAGTGAGGCGTATAAAAAAGGAGCCATTCGGTGTACCAAAGTACATTTCAATTCTGTTTCCTTTTATGCAGTCTTAGAAAGGAGTACTAATTAAAGCGAAGGCATTAAAAGGACGGCATATTAATCTGTCTGTACGTCTGCATGTCACGTATTCAAAATTTTTAACCCTTTAAAGACACAGAAGAAAAACAGCGAGAAGAAAAATTGGTGGGGGGGAGCAGCGATAGGCACTATTGTTTAACGGAGAGAACGGGCATAAATTTTGACTTGCTACTACAAACGTTTCCAGGCTGTGCCCGCTCGCACTTATACTCGAGATAAGTTTAGTAAAGGCAAGGCATTTGGAAGTGGTACAGGTGGGATAAGAACTGGACCAGAAGAGGAGTTGATAAGTTCGGTTTTACTGCTTTCGTGCACAAATTAAAGACGAAACCCGCCTACATGATATGTTAGCATTGAGTCTGTATTGCAAATAAAATACAAAATTTTAGCATTTCAAAGATCAACTAGTTAATGGTGTTTCAGGAGATAAACCCTATTTACATAGATAATTATACGAAACCCATAAACACAAACTACAGAATTACTGATTGTTAAAAGTAGGTGGTGTTAATAGTTCCCACTCGGCTGTAGAAGAGTTCGACTTATTTAGATTAAAATTTCGGATCGGAAGCAAGAATTTATAGAGCAAATTTATTTTGAATTTGTTTTGATTAATGAAGCATAAATACATTTTTTTCAAGAACAGTTCAAAATAAAATATTGGTACGTGACAGAAATTATAATTCACTGCGAACGACAATTTTTAACCACCTTTCGACAATGTGAATATTTTTAAGAATTTGGAAGAAAAAAAATTAGTACTTGCCTCTGTACAGTGCGAGTGGTGTGGCCAATATTGTTACAATACATCTGTGTCTGCATCAAAAGATCATCAAGGCCAAGGAAAGAGCTGACAGTCGTCTGGGATATTGAACTGTTTAGTCTTGTAGAAGTTTACCGAGGTTTTGGACGTGATTGCTCGAGGCAGCAAGCTCCTCTAAAACGTCGATAATCTCCTATCAGACTGCACGGCGCAACAACCCACAAGACAGCCATCTTCAATTTTTGGTTAACTTTGTTCAATTTCTAAGATGGAACACTCGGATGACCGAAGAATAAAACGTCGATGACGAAGTCACCTGTAATATGGAGGCAGTAAGTCCATCTGAATCGTTATTAAGCACGTAGACCACCCGGCGTGTGGTGTCACAACCCAGAAGCCAGCTAATGGTCATTATGTTAGTGTAGTCCTTCTTGAGACACTACTATTCGCTTAGATAGTCAAGAATTTCATTGCCTTTATGAAACATGAAAGTTCGTAAGAACTTGTAATTGACCTCCTAGGTTAGTCCACACCCTAACACATATTACATCAAGACCCACTTCAATATTATCGTCCTAACTTCCACTTTGTCTTGAACGTGTTCTCTTCCCTTCAAGTTTTCTAACTAAAATGCCGGCATTGTAACAAATTAGCCGCGTCAAACCTTGTATTTTTGTTCTCAGGGCTCTCTGTGTTGCAGGTGCTACACTGAGGCGCAGTCATGCACCAGGGAGCTTTTATGGGTGCGAACTGGACAGTTCGTCGCAAACTGTCAGTAGCGCCACATCCCAGACGCACGTATCAGCCCCACGGGTCACAATGGAACGTGCAGGTGGTGCGTGGCAAGGTGACCACGCGCTGCCTTTGGAACGCCTGCAAGGCCTTGACTCTTGGCCTGCTGCTACTCCTGCTAGGATGCGCAATGGCCACCGTCGGTACGTAACGTATTCTGCAGGTGTGTCGATCGGGTGCTGAGCGTTGTTTGCGGCTCACATCAACATTGTTTCCCAAGCACCAAACACTGCACGTCATTCTGATCGAGTCCTCGGATAGTTCGATATTATTCACTCCTAAACTACAGAAACTGTTTCCTTTGAGTTTAAAGCTTTTAGTGTATACGAGTTCCGGGTACATTTGTTTGATGAGGAAATTTTAGGATCAAAGATTGCCATAACATATGGCCAATTTTATTTTTTGTCTTGTTTTAAAATAAGACAAGGAAGGGTCTTAAAAATATGTCAGAAACTTTCATAACATATGGCCAATTTTATTTTTGTCTAGTTTTAAAATAAGACAAGGGTCTTAAAAATATGTCAGAAACTTGTCTAAGATGAAAAGGCTGTCCACTCCTAGCCTCAACGTCATTAATTTTCAACAGACATTCTATTCTGCATTTCGCCTTCTTATCAGTACATTTATTCAGATAATGGAAGTATTAATGTTTATGTGCATATTACAGGCGGTACGGAGACCAACGGTCAATTCCGGGATAGTTTGTATGTGATTTGTGTTGCAAAATGTGGCACTGGGCAAATGTCACTAGCTTTACTACCCCTGGCGGGGACACAACCGCCTTCACACACTGGACAGAAGGCTGGATGAAATCCAAAGCTCTTCTGCACTTTGCGGCGAAGAAAAACGACTGTTCCTAAGAGAAATTGAATCCATGTTGTCCGTCGTGTCACCAACCACTTTATAATAACGTTACACTTATGATAAAGATGATGACAGATACTCAAATATATATTGTGAAGCGTATTTTATAATGAAGACTGGTAAGGGAAAACCTACGCACTCTGAAAGAAATTTATCGCAATGCCAGTGTCCAAAACAAACAAATTCCATATTAAATATTTAATGGTCGAACCCGTTCCTGCGCGTTCAAAATACTAACCAGTGTACTTAATGATCTGTTAAAGCCACGATTCGTACTGTATATTTGTTATTGTCCCTCTAATTCTAAAACAACTGCATTAATGACGTAAAATAAATTTAAAATTGCAGTCAATGTATTCAATATTTCATCCATATAAATGTGTCACTCACGATAAATACTGCTAACAGTTCAGTGACATTTTAAAATCACGCATGTGAACGTGAACTACGTATATTTAATATTTCTTTCATATTCAGAAAATTAACGCACGAACCTGTCCGCTCTCGATATTTCAGAAATCCGCGTCTGTATTCTAACAACACAATAGAGTTTGTGATGAAGCGAGTTCAGTAATTCGAATGTTGCGTTGTCAGCGTATTTAACAGCATACGTCACACGATGCATGCATAAAACATGAAACAAGATAAAAAACAATTCTCTTCCATGCATTTACTGGGATTATTCAGTTTTCAGTACCGTTCTTAATAAAGTTCGAATTCACTGTTATCGTGTATTGCCTCCCTCTTTTAGTTTATTTCGCCCAACATCCAACTTCTGCAGTGAACATTACAATTTGATGAAGTACGTAATAGGATTTGTATGAGAAATGTTTTCATGTGGCGAAACAAATATGAGAATTGTTAAATCAACATCACGGCACATAACTGCAAAATTTACAATATTTTGTGACGGAATAAATTATTCTTTGATTATTTAAATGTAACACGAGTATACACACTGGAATGAGAGTGCAAATAATAAACTCGATAAAATATATTTATAACTCGATTGTTTAACCTTCTGAAGACGACGTCTGTCTAAATCATATTTAAGAATTCAGTCCATACCTCAAGAGGAAATACAAGATTTCCCCATTACAAAGATCAACTGTTATTGCTGTTTAAGAACATGATCGCTTTTTGCATTGATAAACACATGAAACCCACAAATACAAAGCGCACAGTTATTGATTGTTAAGAATAGATGGTAAATACATTATAATTAACTCAAAATACTCGCGAGCCTGAGCTCCGTCACAGGAAGACGGTAATGGAAGATGGAAAGGGGAAATGGGCAGCAAGAATTGTCCTTTATTGCCCACCCTCCCCATACCACGACCGACTTTGCAACAGTCAACGAGGTTCGGAGGTATCTTGCGGCAAGTTTACCACTGGGCTTCGAAGGGTTAACCGACTCTTACGTTATTTAATGACGTTTCAATATAAGTTAAAAAGCGAAGATTACTGTCTTCTGGGATATTGCACAGTGTAGTATAGTAGAAGTTTTCCAACGTTTCAGAGGAGCTTGCTGCCTCCATTATCAGAGTGATGATGATGATGATGATGATCGGTAACATCCCGCAAGACGGTCATCTTCATACTCACCGCCGCGAGAACCTAAAGTCTCACTAAGTTATATAGCGTCAAATAATGATAAGATAGTCATTAATGATGAGTGCTTAAGACTTAACAGCCTGCCATTGGTATCATCCGGACACTTTCCTGGGAATACCCTCGAAAATTAAGAGAACTAGGCCCCGGTCAGTTTAGCTGAAAATCCGGCAAAGTCTCAAGCCTAATACAAATACAAGTCTAACCCGGTGCTGCTATACCATACATCTTGACATATAAAAGAATTTGCCTACAGGCGCTTAAGAAATTAACGAAAAATATCCCTTGGTCTTGACTCAAACCAGCAACTTACACAATACGGTCTCAGTAGCTATTTGTTCTAAGTCAAATGGTGTTAAAAGGGAACGCGTGTTACTTTTTATTCAGCTGGAATGCAGAAGTTTCTAACGCTGTTAAGGTGGGTGGTGTGACGGATTTTCGTCAAGGCTGGTTCGATGGCAGAAGAGGACAGGGCTTCATGCAACAGGTCTGCTCTTCTCGGATGAGTTAGTTACGCTCTGAAACTCCCAAGGCGCCAATGCCACGCGATGCCCCAACTCGCTGACTAGCCTAATTGAGTGCCGTCTCATTGCATCCATTGTAACACGACACATCACTATTAGCATAAGCGCAGTAGCCGATTTGTATGCGTCATTGTAGACTAAATAACAGCGGGCCCAGTATGTAGGATGAATTTCGAAACAATAACTCTGCTTGAAATTTTAGTATGAAAATCACTCTCTAATGCGAACTCTTCTAACACAAATCACTAAATATATCTTAAGGTAAAACGATGATGTGTTCTGGGTTCAAATAGCTCAGGATTGCACGGGATGGAAAACATTTCTGTTATTTGAATATGTTAACAGGGACTTGGCTTAGCTCGTTGGTTTCTTAGCTACACATCTAGTCATTTATTTCTTATTCAAGGATATTTATCTAGTTATCAATTTATTAACTGTCACATAACCCGTCACATACCTAGTTGAAGATAAGTATCTTTTGAGATGTTGCACCGTATAGTCTTGTAGAAACAAACCGACGTTTCAGAAGGGCTTACTGCCTCCATCGGCAGGACGATACGTGACTGATTTCTAACAGATTAAGCGGCAATGCAGCCCAGAAGACGGTCATCTTTATATCTTTATGCCACCGTGAGAACCTAAAATCTCACACAGTAAGCTAAATGTTTATTAATTAGTTGTTGTGAGTTTATTAGTTCGTTACACAAGTATCTTATTTGTTAGTTACTTATTCGGTTTGCGTCATCTGTGTTCATGCACTTGAAAATAGCTGTTTTTAATTTTCCTGGCTGACTGGAAGCTTAAAAGCTTCTATCATCAAACAAAGAATTTTTTTTATAATATAAGCCGTGTGCGCTAGTTTACATATCTGTGAAGTTTGCCTATGAAGCATCAGCCACTTTACCCCGACAGCGCATGCCCTTGTACTGGTCCGTCCATCGATCAGTCTCGGCAACCCTGCAAGTCACTGGGTTTCACTCAAAATTGTTTCCATCACATTCAGTGCCCACAATGGTCTTCAAAAATGTTTGTTAAACTGATACCTCTTTTTAGTAAAGCAATTCCGTTTTGTATGCTGATTACTTTTAAACCAGTTTTTAAACAACCTGAATAAATATATAAATTCCATAATAAAATTCATTGTGTTCAGATCAATATAAATTCCATGATTTGCATCCGACAGATCTGCTCTGCGTCCTTCACATTTCGTAACATTGCACCTTCGATTGCTTGGTCTTCCAACGAGACAGTATTCATTGTTTTCTTCAGACATTCGACTGTTATCGATTCCTGCTAACAGTGTGTAGTTTTCCTACATTTTTTAATGTCAAAACTAGAACTACTCTACATTTACTCTCAGATTATCCAAACACCGGGTCAGAGATGAAGCCCGTAACTTATGAACGGAAATATCAGAATGTGCTGCTTGGTTAGAGCTGTCACACGCCTCGTGGGGCGGTGTCAGATAAGTGTGGAGCAATGGTGGAACGACGAATAGCAGGGGAAGACCAACAAAATGTAATTTAATTATACAATATTAGTGTTAAGCCGAAATTTTATTGTAATAATAATAATAATAATAACAGCTGCCATTTTACCACATTTCTTTCCTTCTTTCTTTCCTTGGATTTCTCTTTGTCGGGTAGGGTTAGATTAGGTTAGTAAAAGATTTTATTTCTAAACGGTAATAACCCAGTAGTAATTTCTTTAAAACTTTAATATAATAATTATTTCGCTACCATTTTAACACATTTCTTTCCTTCTTTCTTTCCTTGCTGTTACATTCAACTACCCTTAGTACATGACCAGCCACGTACATATTTTATTTATCGCTGTGGTGCTACATGTTCATGTAAAGCATGTAAATACCATACAACGTAGATCGGGTTAAATCGTATATGGGGTTGCCTACAGACGAGAGACACGTGAACAAAGACTGCTTTATACATTAAAGCCATACATTAAGAGTTAATCAAGAGACAGAGGGCAAAGAATGAGCAGAGAGACAGAATGATTTTGTTACAGTACATTAAGAGTTAATCAAGTGACAGAGGACAAAGAATAAGCAGAGAGACAGAATGATTTTGTTACAGAAGACGACATGTACGAGCTACTAGTCAAAACCGTTGTGTGAGGAATCCTAT